GGGCACAAATATGGAGCTTTTCCAATTGGTTGAACAGGAAACTGTCTTGCAAATTTCCGTGCACAGTCAAGTCAACCATTCAAGAACTGTATCCAGAAACCCTATGCAGGGTCGCTAGGAGTTGGAACCGACTCCACGGCACATAACAACAACAAAGTCCTGGTGTGGCCCTAGAGGATAAACTCTCAAGGTCAGTTTGGACTGCAATGTCAATCCTTCAAACCCACCGACCATTCCTTGGAAACTTACTCAAGGTGGCTATGAATTGAAACTGACTAGACAGCACTAACAACAACATCAACGTAGCTTTGTAAGGACCCCTGCTGATGAAATGCTTATGCCTTTGCTGCTAACCGTGGGTTGGTGGTTGGAACCCACCGGTAGCTTTGTTGTTTTTAGTTGGAGAAACATGATGGGATGAGAAAACAAATGATAGTTTGCTCCTCAATTGAGATGATTACCTGTGCTGATGATGTCTTCTGGAAGCTCACTCCCACAGTATCTGAAAGAGGATATTTACAACAGATGTCACATGAATGAATATTATTATCATTTCACATGGCCCTGGTAATTAGATGATTTATTTCAGTTGTGACCCAAAACAAATTGTTAGTACTAGGAACATCCTTCCAGCTCTAGACAGAGAGGATGAGTGAAGCCAGTAAGCAGACTTGAAGAACTAACAGAAAAGACTCAAGAGAAAAGTCTTATTCAGGAGGAAAGGAAAGGTGAATGTTATTTTCCAAGGTTGAATTACATACTACTGTCAAATTACATACCGATTTTCCTGGCTGCCTCTAGCTGCTTGTAGGTGGCCAGGCGGCCACCTTCATACTCACACACGGCCTTAGCGTCTGAGTAGGTGAGCTTGTACTTGCCAGTCCGCGCTTCTCGGTGGTACACGCCTGCTGCTTGTTCTGTGAAGTCACAAAACGTCATGAACTCACTATTACCCATTCTTGTGGAACACAGGGTAATTTGGTGGCCTCAACTGAACGATTACATCAGCTACTTTTGCTGCCAAAGGATTTTCTGGGACATCCGCCTTGGGGAGCTAAATTTTCATTGTTTGAAAATTTTGGAAATAAAAATATGAATGAGGGGAGTTTTAGGGGAATTTGAGCGCAAAGACAGAAATTTAAGGCTAAATTATGTTTCTGAACTAATTGCCTGAAAGAAAAAGTTTTAAAATAACTTTGTATTTTTTACAGTATCCAAAAGAGATAGACTTGACTTTCTCTTGGTTTTAAGTTGTATAAAAACTCGAAGGCAATAGAAACCAATGAAAATTGATCCATTATATAGACTCACAATGATGGAGGAAAATAAGTCCAAGTATCCACTTGAGGAAAATGACTAATATAGTATATTGTAAAATGTAGAAAGCAAAAAAAAAACAGAGACAAGGTTTTAAGGAATCCAAAGCAAGCAAAGACTGCATTAAAGAAAAGAAAAATAGATTCAACCACAGCAGACAAAGAACTGGACACACCTAACTACCAATTCCCACGATCTTTATTTAATTCATATTTTTTTTAGTTCACATGTTGTTCCCAATGTATTTGAGGCAGTGTTAAGTCACACATGAGTTGCCTCCCAGCAGATCACTGTTTAAATTGATTATTTTGAGTTTGGAATGCATTTTGCCATAGAAACAGTGTGAAGATTCCCAAGACAGTAATCATTAACATCAGCTCTAACAGTTAGCTCTCATAATTTTATGTAGTCTGCCAGAATATGGTTACATCTTTGTACCCTGACCCTAAGGCCATTTCCAACAAGAACATAAAAGGAGCTATCAAAAAATTCATGGAAACATGGAATTAAGAGCTATGGAATTTTCCCACAAACTTTTTTGTTGCATTCTCTTCTATTCCTTGGTATGCAGCAAGACCAATGGAATTGACACTACCACAGTGTAAAGGAAGATGGTTTTTGGCATTTCCCCTCTTTTATCCAGGCTCCAGAGGATCCTGCTCATATTGTTGTTGTTATTGTTGAGTGCTGTCCAGTCGTTCTGACCCATAGCGACTCAGTATAGGGTTTCCAAGGAGCAACTGGTGAGCTTGGACTGCTGACCTTGTAATTCAAATGACTCATTAACCCACAGAGCCACACCAGGACTCCCATGCTCATGTAATATATGCTAAATGCGCATCATTCACATGCATAGGACTTTAGTGAATCTGCATGCTCATAGGTCATGGAACACCAAGAACATCAAATCACAACCAGTCTCCCTCCTTGGAAAGTCACTGTCTAAGTGCCCTGAATGTGGTAAAGCCTCCTTAACTAAACTTTCCTTAGCTTCCAGTTTGGTTGTTTTCAGAATTTATCTTGAGGTTATCTACTAAGCACTGTATACCCAGTTCTGTTCTCAAAGAACATGGACACTAGCGGGCAACACAAGTACTTTTATCTTGAAGTGAAGACTACTAAGGCTTTTTAAAAGAAAATTAAACTAAAAATCAGGTGCCTTTAAATTGACTACTACATATAGTGATCCTATTCATGCCAGAGTAGAACTGAGCACACATAGGGTTTTCAATGGCTGAATTTTTTGTGGAATATTAAAATTTTTTTGTCAATATTAATGTAGATTGCCAGGTCTTTCTTTCAGGGAGTCTCTGTGTGGACATGAACTTCTAGACTGTTGATTAACTGTTTGCATTACCCAAGGTATGGTTAACTTCCTTAAATGTTGTAATAGTGACTGAGATACATTAAAAATTGTATCTATTCTCTAAGAATATGGACTCAAAAAGCTCTTTACTTAAAAACAAGGCTTTGGGGAATTATTTTAATGCATGCCAAGATTTCTCAGACTAATATTTCTTTGGTAATTTACTTTAAATTTTAATTATGATGTCTGCACACACACACACAAAAACAGATTTAATTTTTCTTAAAACTTTGGTACCTACTGAAACTTGTCTAATAATTTGGTAGTAGCTGAAATAACAAAGTTTATGCTACAATTTTCTATCTGATTCATAGAATAATATTAATATGTTTCAAAAGTTTAATCACTCAAAAGAAATTAAAATTTTTTGAGTCAATAGTCATTTATTCACTAAAACTGAAAAACAGTTTACCCAATCTTTTATTTTTTTCCTCCATTTGGAAAGAAATCACAGAATCTTGGTGGGCCATTTTTGGTCCTGGTTCTATCATGGACGAAGTAGGTGACCTTGTATAAACCACTGGTAGTTATTTTTAGGAGTAAATAAAGCTTTAAAAATAATAGGGATAACGTCTAGATATTATAGGTGCTCAGAGATGTTATATTATTTTTTTAATTTCCCATTTTTATTTTCATATTCAATGATATGGCTGAAATTAATTAAAGCAAATAAAAATGCTATAAATTCATGGAAACTCTTATTAAGCCAAAATATAGAAATGGGAAGCTATTGTTTCTCTACCTGTCCTCCATCTAGGTATGTAGGTCTCTACACTTCTGAAGGCAGTGTTTCCATCTTTCTAACTCTTCCCTGAGGAATTCTGCATTCTTCTTTTACTTTAGGTTAAAATGGTAGTGTGGGCATCCTCGAGGGACTCAGCTTGTGTTCCTTTTCAATGTTCTCAGACTTTGGGGAACAAAATGAAGCCTAAAGAGGCAAGATTAGGGCTGTTCCTAATGAAATTCTTATAGGACAGCCCTTGATATCCTTGAAGGTCAGATGCATTGTCAAGATGGAAGAAAAAAAATGCCTCAGCCCAAATTTCCAGTCTTTTTTCTCACTTGCGAAGTTTTCTTCCTAATAAAGCCCCTCCCCATGATCTTCCTGTGTCCTTTGATAACAATGTTATCAAGATTACCCTTTTAGAATCCCAGTTGCTATAGCCTTCTGAGGTTATGCCCTGAATTCAACTGGCCCAACTGATGCTCTCCAAAGTCACTGTTTTGACTGGGCCTTTTTTTGAAGCCATCCTAAAGAGACTAAGAAAAAATGCATTACTGAGAAACCTTGTCTGCAACCAACCACTGATCCCAGAGACAAATCTAACCACAAACAGGAACTCTACTAACAATACTTTTTAACTTCCCATCACTATTTATCTAAGTATTGTCAATTTTCACAATTAATTTAAACTAGTTGGAATCTTTTGTCCTTAAGTTGTTTTTCCCTGTTGGCTCAGTGAGTTAAGTATTGGACTGCTAACTTAAAGGTCTTGTGTTCAAACCTACTAGGTGCTTCACAGGGAATGATGAAGCAGCTTGCTTCCATAAAGATTTACACCCCAAGAACTCCCATAGAGTAATTCCACTCTGCCCTGTAGGCTTGATATAAATTGGAATCAACTCAATGACAGTGGGTGTTAAGAAATTAGAGGATAGGAGAGTTAAGATAAACTTCAGGAATTCCCTACTTTACCCCTCTTATTTTACTAGAGAAGAAACAGAGACCTAAAGAGTTCAAAATGACTTATTCTTGAGAGTTACTAGCGTATTTTTTGACTTCTAATCCCACTTCCTTTCTTACCTAAATAGTGTCTAGTATATTGATCCAACTAACTGTAAATAATTTGTGTTGGGCTGACCAGCCAATAATTTGTCCCAGATTGAAGCAGTTTGCAATTGTTCCAAGCCTCAATTTTGCAGCATACATACTATTAACAAAGATTTGGATTTGCTCCTCTATATCTCTGGGTAGAATTTCCAATGAATGCCCTGCTTTATGCTTTTGTAATCTAAAACATCCCTTAAAAAACAAAAGGAACTATGTTAACTTCAAATTACTTGCTAAGAGTTAGACAGCATTTAAAAGTTTATCCATGTGGGTTTAAGTTTTACTAGTATTCTGACAGTGTCTCTTAATTTCTGACAAATATATATATATTTCCTCAGCTTGATGGTGTGCGGTGAAAATAAAACAAAGAGATTTGCTCATTCCTATAGTAAATACCAGAACCTATCTTAGCCAAATGGATCACACTGTTCAGCATGAAACTAGTTCACTGGCACAAGCTGAAAAAAGAAACAGCAAAGCTGTGCATTACAAATCAGACTTCCTAATGAAATCCTCATGGCTGCAGTTATTACCAAAAAGGACATGCTGAAGAAGAAACTACAGCTGTGGGCTGCTAAGCAAGCATAAAACTGACATCCACGTTAATTTTTACTTTCTCTTAATTTCTTTATTTGATGCAAGACTCTTCAATTATTTTTTTTTCACCATTAAACAGAAAAAGAGGCACAGAATATTAAATTGTTTGTATCATGAGAATAAAAAGCATTGTTTAGAAGAATAAGAGGGGTGTTTTGCATTTTCTTTTCTATTGTTTAGCTTCACAGACTGGCCAATGTCATTATTACATTTAAACAAAACAACGCAAAACAAAAACTTGCTTTGTCTGGGTTAGAAAAGTATTCCTATGGATTGGAGGGACAAAAGGAATGCAAGTGGTAAGAATGCATTCAGAAACACAAACCTTTTAAATTTTTTTATCGCAAGTTGACTAGCAAGTTGACTGTCATAACGGTCAACATGCTACTAAAATCAAAGTATACTCAACAGGTCACAATATATGAATCAATGATGATCAAGTTTTTGCATATTCTGATTTACCTGTTAAAACTCTGAGGTCTGACTATAAATGCATTTAAATCAAAACAAGAGATACACTGGGAGTTTTATTTTGTTTGTTTGTTTTTTGACAAATATCCTCCCTTACATTCCCAACTCTACTTTGAACATTTAAAAATATGTTTTCATATGGAATACAAATATTACCCACTCTTTTTTATTGAGCACTTCAAGGCTTAAAAAAAAAAACACCCCGATTTTTAAATATTAGAAGGTGGGCTCACTCTTTTAAAAATAAGCTATGCATCTATATGAGCATTTTCGTTGAAAACACTAGCTTTGAAAAGAACAGAAAATTTTCATGATTTGAAAGAATTGACATTCCTGAGAAGAAGCTCATGAGTAAAATTACTTACCAAGCCATATGGAGTTGTGAAAAATTCCATTCTTGAATCCCCATCCGTGAGCCTCTTCCCACAGTAAGACAAATAAGTAAATGAAGATGACCATATTGTTGGTTGCAGAACAGTAACAGCCTGTCAGGGCTGCTAGGGGAAAAGTCTCAGAGCAACGGCTGAGATGTGAGTGAAACATCTGGTTTCTACTTCTCTTAAATAGTTTTTTCAGCTGTGAGGTCAGCAAGTACTCTCCAATGGCATTTTCTGCTGCAGTTACACAATTAACTCAGTGTCTGAAGTAAATCCTCTGACTCATTTGTATTGGCAGTTAAGTAAGGGTATAGAATGATCATCTACATTTAAAAATTCACTTACTCAGAAAGGGGCTCAACTACTCTTATCACACAAACACTTCTAGGAAGATTGAGTGATTTTGTGCAGATTTTACAGTAATTAAAAGAAATAACAAAAACAAGAAGCAACTTCAATAGAAATTTAAAAATAAATCCTCATTGTCTTATTTTAGTAAGTCAATTGTGGAGTTTGGGGTTAAGCACTAGTTTACAGACCCAGGTGATGCTACATTGTTTTTGTTGCTATTACCTGCCTTTGAGTTGATTCCTACTCATAGTGACCCTGTATAATGTTTCCAAGGAGTGGCTAGTGAGTTTGAACCACTGACCTTGTTGTTCAAACCAACCTTGCGGTCCAGCGTTTATCCTACAGTATTATACCAGGACTCCTATGCTACATTATTGTGTTGTTAAGTGCCATCAAGTCAGTTCTGACTCATAGTGACCCTGTATGGGGCTTCCAAGGAGCGGCTGATGAGTTTGAACCATCTACTTTGTGATTCAAACCGAACTTGCAGCACAATATCCTACAAGAATAGGATTCCTATGTGATGTTAGTTTTCATTAAACATTGCCAAGTTTGCACAGAAAATTGAAAACTTAAATTATACACAGCTTGGCATATCTTAAACCTGTAGGACATCCTCACATTCTGCCTGTATTTGTCCTGTTGTGGGATCTGTGGTTTATTATGGTCAGCAGGTAGTTTTCAGAGCCTAGGACATTCCAGAAGCTTTGGAATATCCTATGATAACACAAATTTCCCCCGGCTACATATTATTGAAATATTACAATAAAAGTGTATAGACAATCCCTAGTCCACTAAAACTTTGAAGAAGGTGATCAAAGTGTTATTATTATTAGGTGTCAGCGAGTAGAATTGAGAATCATAGCAATCTTATACAACAGAATGAAACACTGCCCAGTCCTGTGCCATCCTCACAATTGTTATGTTTGAGCCCATTGTTGCTGCCGCTGTGTTAATCCATCTCATTTGGCATCTTCCTCTTTTTTCACTGACCCTCTACTTTACCAAGCATGATGTCCTTTTCTTGGGACTGGTTCCTCTTGGTAACATGTCCAAAGTATGTGAGACCAAGTGTCTCCATTCTCACTTCTGAAAATCATTCTGACTAAAATGCTTCCAAGATAGATTAGTTGTTACTTCTGACAGTCCGTGGTATATTTAATATTATTCACCAGCACCATAATTCAAAGGCATCAACAGTTCTTCAATCTTCCTTATTCATTGTCCAGCTTTTACATGCGGATGAGGTGACTGAGAATACCATGGCCTGGATCAGGCGCACCTTAGTCTTCAAAGTGCTTTTTAACATTTTAAAGAGATATTTTGCTGCTGATTTGCCCAAAGCAATACATAGTTTGATTTCTTTACTGCAATTTCTGTGGGCATTCATTGTGGATTTAAGCAAAATTCTATCCTTGAGAACATCAATTCTTTCTCCATTTATGACTATGCTGCTTATTGGTCCAGTTTGTTCCTTTGTGTTGTGGGTAATCCATACTAAAGGCTGATGTCTTTGATCTTAAGCAGTGTTTCAAGAGTTGAAGAAAATTCAAAATCCTAGAAAAGACTAGCCTTATTAGTCTGACAGAGACTGGCGGAACCCCTGAGACCATTGTCCTTGTTGTTGTTAAGTGCTGTTGAGTCGGTTCCAATCCATAGCAACCCTGTGCAGGGCTTCCAAGGAGCAGGTGGTGAGCTTAAATCGTCGACCTTGCAGTTCAAACAGTCTTGAAGTCTGGCGCATTAGCCCACGGCGTTACACCAGGACTCCCCACCCTTAAAACCTGGTATGGAACTCACCTCCATAGCTCAACTTTTCATAAACAAATAAGACTATAAGGTAATCAATAGCACAAGGGAGGTACACACTATTTATAACAGTCAACCATACAAGCTCAAAAGGACAGCATTTGCCCAGGGGTAAAGCTCTGAAGGCAGGAAGAGATAGGAAAAAAGAATGAATGAAAATAATAAACCCAGGGAAGTAGGAATAGTGTTTTTACATTGTGGGGGTTGTAATTAATATTACAAAACAAAATCTGTATGAATTATTGAATAGAAAACGAGTTTGCACTTAAAATGTTCAACCAAATCACAATAATTCAGAACAAAACTGAACAAAGCTTTTAGAAAGTGAACATGGTGTTGTGGTGGTTCTGTGCCATGGAGTCGGTTCCAACTCATAGCGAGCCTGTATAGGGTTTCTGAGGCTGTACATGTTTACAGGAGCAGCAAGCCTCTTCTTTCTCCTGTGGAATGTCTGGTAGTTTCAAACTGCTGACCTTGAGGTTAGCAACCCTACTTGTAACCACTACGCTACCAGTGCTCCTTAGAAAGTACATATAACACTGTACAGAATAATGTGCTGTCAAGTTGGTGTGAAATCAAATGTCAGAAAGAGATCTGAAACAGACAATAGATTCTCCAGAGTTATATGGAGATGCAGTTATTAGTAATGTTCACCAACTATCCTGGCTCTCAACATTAAGACAACATGATTGCATTATACTTCCTAGACCTCCTGTGGTTTGGTTGGACTATGTGATTACTTTGGACCAATAAATTGTGAGTAGAAATTATGTATGTTATCTTAACTATGAACATTTAACTCTCTTTCCCTATGGCATGTAGGAATACAACAATGGGCTCAACCTTAACAACAATTGTGAAGATGGTGCAGAACTGTCAGTGTTTCATTCTATTGTGCGTAGGGTTGCTATGAGTTGGAACAGACTTGATGGTACCGAATAACAACATCAACAAACCAATTATTGTGTTGTTGTTAAGTGTCATTGAGCCAGTTCCAACTTATAGTGACCCTGTTTAGGGTTTCTGAGGTGTGGCTGGCAAGCTTGAACTGCTGATCTTGCAGTTGAAACTGACCTTGCAGTCCAGCGCATTAACCCATAGTGCTACAGCAGGACTCCATTTATTGTGTGGGAGGCACAAAAACTATCGCTAAAAGGGTAATATTAAGTAATGCACTGCATCACAAAAACCATAGACTTATTTGACATGGCAATGAGATTATGAAAGAATACACAAAGATCATGACCAGAAGAGAATATTAAAAATTTTAAAGCATCTACGAAAATTGGGTATTGTATATTTTACCAGGTGAATGGATGATAGGACGAATAGCATTTCCAAGAAAAGAGACTTTAGCCATAACAGAATCAAAGCCAAACTATAATTTTATAGCTTTGTGTTGAGGTTACAGGACTAGCATGCTGACAGTTGTTTTTGGATAAACTGTCTAGGGCATTTACATATATTTCTCTTGACTTTAGCAACCACCCAAATATTTCATTTTTCACAGATGTTTACTGAAGGCATAGTTTATGTTAAGCATGATGTTGTACATTCTGTGGGGTTATAAAAATGAGTAAGACATGGTCTTGCCTTCAAAGAATTCCTGCTTTTCTATTTGGAAAGCTATCAGATAGGCTTGGTTGTTGGAAGAGTTCCATTAAATATAACTCTTCCCTCTATCACCTTTCTACAATTTCTCACACAGTGGAGAGAGATCTTTAGCATCTTTGGTTTCTGATAATGCTGGCAATAGGTACTGTCGGGGGTGACCAGGACTGGTAGCTCTGCCCATTAACTATTAAGTATAATTAGTCACTCCAGTTACACCCTTTTTCAAAAAAATATTCTGTGTTATCATGGGTCGGTCTCTCTTCAGAGGTAACTTTCTCTTTCTCTGTCCTTTTGATCTGCTCATCTGCTGTGTTTGTTTCCTGGGGTTGCCACCATCAGAATGGCTTAAGACAACAGAAATTTGTTCCCTCACAGAACCAAATTACGTTTACTCACACATTGTAATAAAGCATATTAGAGGCAACCAAAATGTCAGTCAACAAAGGAATAATTTAATAAATAATAGCATAGTCATCTCATGAACTATTGTTGTTGTTAAGTGTTGTCAAGGTGGTTCCGACTCATGTTGTTAAGTGCAGTTGAGTCGATTCCAACCCATAGCGATCCTGTATAGGGTTTCTGAGGAGCAGCTGGTGAGCTTGAACCACTAACCTTGCAGTTCAAATGGCTTTGCACTCTGGCTCATTTACCCACAGCGCCACACCAGGACTCCTTCCAACTTGTAGTGACTCTGTAAAGTGTTTCCAACAATTGACTGGTGAGTTCTAATCACAGACCTTATAATTAGCAGTCCAGTGCTTATCTGATAGCACCATTCCAGGACTGTTAGGAGCTACTGTAAAGCTGTATAAAAGAATGAGATGAATTCCATGGCCCAAGAGGGAACATTTATTTATCAATATTATTTGAGTGGGGAGTTTGGTGACTCCATACAATAAGCACTGGACTGTGAACCACAAGGTTCTTAGTTCAAGCCCACCAGTTGCTCCATGGAAGAAAGATGAGGCTTTTTGCTTCAGTAAAATTTAAAGCCTCAGAAACCCTCAGAAACACAGAGTCACTATGAGTTGGAATTGACGCGAAGGCACATAACAACAACAATCTCAAATCATTTGAGTATTTCAAGTAACAGTATAATAATTGAGCAATTAAAATTAAATTACTTAAAAAAGAAAGAATAAAACAAACTTAAATGGATCTGCTGTCTAATTTGAGACCTAAGAGAAAGTTTGGGGCATTTTTTTCCTACTAGTCTCATTGAAAGCGAGATTTAAATGTCTGCCAAGGTCTTGTTTACCAGAATCTAGACTAAGACTAGAGCTGGCTAAGTCTTGCTCATAGATCATTAATAAAGTCAACATCCTGGAGAAGGGAAACAGACTTCTGAAAGCCTCTATGCCTATGTAGTACACTGCT